GTAGATCGCTGTTATTTAATGTTTCTTTTTTTCTGTCTTTTAAAATTATTTTTATTGAAACATAATTGATTATACATATCTGTGTGGTACAGCGCTGAATATTAATACCTGTGTGCAATATGTGATGCTCAAATCAGGATAATTTGTATATTCAGCGTTACACAATGTAATTATTTTTTGTGACCCTTTACCAATTTCTCGCCAACCCCCCGTTCCCCACATATTATTATGATTGTTGTAGTTTTCTTTCTCTCTTTTTTTTGAAGGATTTTTTTGTCTTTTTATTTTTTAATTTGTTTTTTATTAGCATATTCATTGTTACAAATCATACTTATTCTTTATGCCCCTTATCCAATCTATCCGCTCCCCCTCTTCCTTGCCCTCCCCCTACCCCCTCTAATAACCATAGGTTTGTTCTTTCCATCTGATAGGTTAACTGTTCTTCTGTTGGTCTGTTGCCTAGATGATCTGTCCAGCACTGAGACAGGTGTGATCAAGTCCTCCCCTATTATCTTAAATAGATGCTTCTATTACTCTGGACTGTGCTTTGTGGAGAGAAAGGACCTCTTCTTTTTTTTTTGGTCTCTGCTGGTGCCTCTCCTTGTGTCAATGAAGTTGAGAGTCTGGTGTGCCATGTGCACAGTGGCTGTGACTGCTACTATAGAGACTAGCTGCTTTTGTGGCAGCCTTGGCAATTGTGATGGCTGTGGTGGACTGCCTATGTGGAAATGGTGTTTTGGGTGTGCTCTTTACCTGGTTGCAGCTGGGTTCAGCTTCCCCAGGATGTTGGGGTGAAGTGGGGTGCTGAGGCCATCAGTCCCCCCACTGCCACAGCTCCAGAGCCCAGGGTGCTTCCTGCTGCTGCCAGTGGTCATTGATGGTCTGGTTGTGGATGTCGGGGGTGTGTGGCTGAGGCCCTTGGCCTTCCCTCTCCCTGGTTTGGGAGCCTAGGGGGCTTCTGGTCCTTCTAGGTTTTATAGGTGTTCTTTGGTGATGTTAGAGCTTTACTAGTTAATATCAAACTTTGTCTGTGATCTGTGGGTATTTTGTTTTTTCTTTCAGTTCTTTGTTGGATTATTCACTGTTCCCACCACTTAAACTCTGCATTAGAACTAATTTTTGTCCTTTGCTTACTTCTAAAATGGGGAACTTCCTGTGGGGACCAGCACTTGAACCCTGTAGTTGAGCTAAATTGCTGCTTTGCTGCTGATTCCCTGGGGAAGGCTTTTTATGCAGCTCAGGTTTTAATGGTTGACTTTATCTGTAATTCCGGTCTTGTGAGGTCTGGTACACCTGGGTTGTGTGGAAACTCGGGTCTGGGCCTGAGTCTTTTCAGCAAACTGCACCCCCTGCAGTTCTGTATTCCTGACCAGTCTCCACTGAATGGTCCTGTGCTGACTGGAAGGCAGATCAGCTGTCCATGCTGGGCCGGTCCCTTGTGATGACTTACCAGCCTCTGAGTGGCTCCTTTTTTCTGTTGTCTGTGGCTCCTTGCTCCTATGTGGGTCCACAGGAACCCTGTTAGTGGTCTTGCTGGCCTGGGGGCCACCAAGGCCCTCTTCTCCCCTGCCACCTCCAAGCAACTTCATATGCATGGCACAGCTGAGGCTCCGTGTGCTCACCAGCTCCAGACTTGAAGTGGCCAGGGCTCGAAATGGTGGGAGCGATCCTTCTCTCATCATGGCTTCTCCTGTCTTTGTGAACTCTGTAGGCCTTTCCTCCTCTTCCCCTGTGCTCTAGCAGCCCCAGCTTGGCTGTTGTTGCTTTTTAATAGTTGTAAATTGGTTGATTTGTAGGAGAGAGAGTGATACTGGGACCGTCTATTCTGCCATCTTGACCAGATGGCTAATATTTCAACAATAATAGCAACAATGGCAACTATTCACATTTATTGAGAATTTACTCTGTGCAAAGAACTGTGCTAAACAATTTCTATACATTATCTCCTTTGGTCTTTACAACAACCGCCAGGTTGGTAGATGTCATCATCTGCATTTTATCAATGAAGTGGGTTACACAGCTGATAAGTAGTAGACCTAGGATTTATTCCAACACTTTTTTTTTATTCCCACACTTAATCATTATGCTGTTACCTCTGAAATTAGTACACTCATATAACTGCAATCTAACAGAAAAGTTCAAATGACCAGGAATTTTTGTATATCTCCTTAATGTACAGAATTTATTTTGAAAATGAGGAATTTATTACAGTTATCAGAACAGTTTGATTTAATACTTCTACATCTATATTTCTATATAATGATAGTAAGAAAATAAGAAATCCTAAAGTAACTTCTAAAAGCATCAATGATTAAAGTATTATTTATGTCTTTATTATATTCTAATTTGTTAAAAGTGGGTAAAGTATGTATTAGACTTATTTTTCAGTTAACCAAATTCAATTAACTTTTATTGTTCTGTCCATCACTATTAATATGTGTTTATACATACAAACATAAGGAAAAAATTTAATCAACCCATTAAGTATCCAAATAAGCCCCATTTTTTTTTCATCTGTTTAGAAGTTTTTTAGATAAGGAATATAACATCTTTTAATTTTTGCTAAAATTAAAATTTTTACCTTCTTTATGTAAGGGAAAGAGCACACTGAAACGATGTCATAAACTGATCATTTATGTAAGATAATCTCATCTGAGAGCAATTTGTTTTTGGTTTGTTGTAATTAAAGCTAACATTTTTGGTAAATCTACGGTGTCTCTTCTTCACTGTTTAATCTCTTGTGGGGATGACGAAGAGAACACAGGGTACAAAATATTTTGCTTTCAACTGTTCAAAAACTAGGTTATAATTTGTAAATTTTTCTAAATAGATTTGAATGTGGCTTTAAGGAATATAATGTTTGAGAACTTTAATTATGAGTTAATTCTCTTTAATTAAAACTTGAGTGCTCCTAATTTGTAATATATGTTGTGAGTAAAAAAACTAATGCCAAAATGCTTTTGTGATAAGATTTCTATGTCTAAAGTAATGGTCTAGTTAATTTAAAATGGAAGAGAAATACTGAAATTCCTTCACTAGTGATCAGCACTTATTGAGACCTTTTAGTTTTGTAAAAATGTTTATAGTTACAAAAGTATTTTACACTTTTTATGTGATTAAAATTTAATTCCCTGTCTTATTTTTAGTTTTGCTTTCTTTTGTATATTTTCTTTTTAAAAAATATTTGAAAAAACTAATGGAACCAAATGTAAGATGGTACCACTGTTTTCTCCTTCTTTTGTATAATCTTGTTGCGTGTCTCTACATAAGCTGTTCTGGCCACTCATCATAGTAACCAGCTGGGCCATTTCACCTGCTGGAGCCATTAAAGAGGACTCTCTCCCCCTAGATTAATCCCCTCCGACATTAGTTTTTTGCACTGACAACTGGAGCAGGCATTCAGAATTTGCAGGTGGCCAGTGTGACGCACATAATTGCCTACAATTTTAGGCAATGAATAAAAATGGTCTACATTACTTGTCAAAGGTTGTATATGCAGTGCCAAGTGAGATCTATGGGAAGCCTTTTAGGGTTTAAAGAACAGTTAATAGCAAGGCTGCACAGGGCTTTTTTAATCATAATGCATTTGTAATATAGCACTTTGATCTTCTCCTTGTAGGAAATGGTGTTACATTAGCCACTTTTAAACATTTATGAGTGAAATTCAGTTATAGAAGTAAAAGTGATTATTCTTGAGCAGACCATGTTAGATTTCATTAAAAGTTTTCAGCTTGCCCCTTCCTTGTTAAAATCTGTGGGAAGTCCTTTTCCTGGAGGTTTCAAATCAGGATCTAAGGATATAGGGCTTTTTCCTTATTTTTCCTGTTGGTAACAGCAAGATATGGAAGGAAGGTACAAAATATTGAGATAATTTATTCAAATGGATATTTATAGGAGAATAACTGATTCTGGTAAAGTAAAATACATTGATGAAAATCCAAGAAATCTATTACTAATAAGTGTGTTACAATAAATTTTGAGAAATGCATATTTAAAACATATCCATAAATTATCTTTAACCACCCCGCCCAAACAAAACAGATGACTCTCAATGCACTTCTCCTGGAAGAGCTAAGTTTGACCTTTCAGACCCGAGAGCCTTTTATTAACACCTGCCTGTAAGGAGAACCTTGCCACACGCAGCTTTTAGATTCAGAACCACAAAACTGATGAGGAAAGGCTTGAAGGGTTCAGTTTGTGTCACTTGCTGTTTGCCGTTTCCATTTCACAGATGATTAATCTTTCTGTGAAGAAAGGCCAGAGAAACAAAGCACATTGGGCTCTTCCTGCAGTTACTCCTTCTGAATGCACACTAGCTTGCTAACTAAAAGGCCTTTAGATTTCCAGCAGAGAGAGATGTTCTGAAAGTGAATGCAGCTGGTTGGAGGTCACCAGTGCAGGGCTCTTGCCATTGTGTAATGGAAGCTTTGGCAGGTTGGGAGGGAGGGGGGCCCAGGTCCGGCTGCAGGAGAGGTGGGCAGGGAGAAAGTGTTGGCAAAAAATTAATTCAGTATGAAAAGAGTTTTGGTCAGTTGATTTAATATTTTGGAGGGTAGATCATCAATAATAGGCTCACTTTTGTCTGTTTAGTGTTTCTTTTTAAGGAAAAAAATATATAATTTAGTCTTTCTCCTACATCTCTCCCCTTACTTCATTTCCTAATAGCATGGTTGTCTTGCATGTGGCATCACGAGGTAATGTTGAAATATTATTAACTCTTGTATTTAGTCTTTGGTGTGATTGAATTGTCTTGGAATTTTTCAGACTGTTACTAATATTGCTAATATTTTCCATTTTATGTATTAAAATTTTAATGCTACAATAATGTTTCATTGGCATTTCATTTTTTAATGAGATATAGAAAACAATTATTTGTGTGGCTCAGTTTTCCTTTTATTAAAATTTTTTATTTTTATTTTGAGGATGTGAAGACTTTTAAAATATTTAATATCTAAATGCTTAGTATTCATCTTGTTTACTTTTTTCTCAATCACGTATAGGACATAATGTGCAAAGTCAAATCCTGGGTTACAGATCAAAAGAAACCTGTTCGCTTCTATCATGATTGGAATGACAAAGAGGTAAGTTATAAACATCATGCCATCTATTATTGCCTTTGCTTTGATTTTTTAGAGAATGAATTACATTTGTCATTATTTTACACTTGTTATATCTAGTTAAACTTTTATTTCTGTCAGTGATTGCTTATTGCTTATTCCCAGGCTTCTCATTCCCCCCGCCCCCTTTGATATTTCATAACAACCAATCTTTTGGAAATAAGAGTTGTGAAAATGAAAATGTCTACTCGTTTTAGAAAAAGTTTATGTTCAAATTATTCAATAATTCACTCCATGTTTACTCATCTTTTAAAAGGGGTTCTTTCTCCATCTCCCCCTTTAGATTGAAGTGTTGAATAAACACTTATTTTTGACTTCAAAACCAATGGTCTACTTGGTTAATCTTTCTGAGAAAGACTACATTAGAAAGAAAAACAAATGGTAAGTTTTTCCTCCCCAGATATATACCCAGACACATCATATCTATACACATAAAAACACACATACATATGTACTTACTGCTATGTTTGATTTTAACATTTTTCTCCTTACTATTAAAACATTTTAAATGGATGAGAAAGCTTTCCCTGGTGTTTACATTCAGAGATGAGTCTACACTGAGAGAACTGAAAAAAACTGAGTTAAGCAATATTGAATCATACATATTTACTTATCAGATTTATTAGACATTATTGTTTATTTCTGATGGAAAATGAGAATAAGTGTAGTTGGAATGATAAAACTTTTTAAGCTAGAAATTTCTAGTTGTGTTGATATTATATGTGACTTTAAAATACCCACTTGGAGTTGTAGCTGGACATAAATTTTAAAATCCAGATTGAATACTTAAAAAAAAAAAAAAAAGCTGTCAGGGGGAAGAAAAGTACTTGTTCCAGGTACTTTAAAAGTGTCTTAAGGTAAAAACTATGCATTCACGTATTGATGTCATTTTTGACATGTAACCAAAATGTACAAGATTTGTTTTCTTTAATAAATTACTTCAAAAATCATGTGTTCATGGACATGTAGGTATGTACACATTTGGCGTAGTACTCACTTTGACTTCCCTCAGTGGACCCTCAGTATTTTATACTATTGAGTCATATAAACAAATCAAAACTATCCAAAGCCAAATATCTGAATTCCCCTAAAATATGTTGTCGGTTTCTCCCTGTACTTCATTAAGTACTTAGATGCACATGGTTTCAATTTTCCATTAAAAATTCTCATTTCCATATGATATCAAAGAGTGAGAAGGCTTTAAACTGAAAAATAAACATTCATAGACTGGAAGCCAAAACAATAATTAATGTCAGATGGTTAACTCCAATAAATCATTAGAATAAATCCTGTGAAATTACTGCAACTAAAAATGCCCTGTTGATATTACTGTAAGACATTTTTTGTTCCTGATAGCTGAATTTAGCCTCTTTATTGGTAATGTTCTAGAAAGCATAAATTTAACATAAAAATTTAGTTCAGACTGGTCAGTGTCCTCCAGCAAGTAATTAACTTGCAAATAATCAGTTCTGTCTTGTTTCAAATTCTTATAAATTTGATGATTAATGTGTTAAAAATTGTTACCTTTGGGAAGGAATTTTAAATTTATTACTTGACCTCAGTTAATAAATCTTCTCATTGTGGTATGAATGGTAAGGTTTTCTGAGGCTCCATGAAACAATACAGACATCAAAGTTTACATGAAAAGGGATGAGTCAGTTTCCTTGCCCAAAGGGGCTTCTCACACCTGTATTTGGATGATTACAGGTAGAACTCCCTGGCTCTAATTGTATAGTAAATACCGTTTCCCAGACCCTAATGGTAGACAGGCTGCTTAGGAGACGCCAGTCTGTGATTTAGCTGTCGCCAGACACCCCATGTTTTTTGTGAGACCAGTTGTGATGATGATATGGTTATAGCCAATTGAAAGTAAACTCTTGTCTAAATAGCAAATTTTAATTCATAACGATGTAGAGGTAAGAATGATCCCATTTTTATAAAACCAAATTTCAGTGGGTTTTATGTATAGCTAATGATCTGGCTGGGGGTTGGTGTGTGTGTGTTTTGGGGTCAGGGGGGATCCAGATCTTATGGAAGTTAGTGTAATTGTAGCTGAAAGATCAAAGACAGGGTAACTGAGTGATGTTCCAGAAGAGAATTTACCACATAGCCGTTTTCTGTACAGTTTCTGCCGCCTGCTGTTCCTATTTTCCCTCAAGCTAGCCATTGACTACCCCCTGTGCATCCCTGCTCGTAAAAAATGATTGAGGAAGTATTTGTCATGTATTTATGAGTGGGAAACATTGTGTGATAGGGAATGGCGTCTACTGGAGCCAGAAAGATTGCCATTTTCCTTTCATTCAGCTACTTTGCTACAGCTTTAAATCCTCTGTTTATGCAACATAGCCTCTATATTAAAGTACAGAATAAATTTTTATTATGAAGGATATGAACACTAGATTTTCATCATTTATAACACTGCAAGCAGATGTAAATAGTTAAAATTCATTTTAACTACTAAATCCTTTAATTGTGTTAGCACCTTGTTTTTTGGTAATGTTTATATCTAAGCTCCATTTGGGTTAGTTGCTCCTTTAGCAAAAGAAGTTTTTGCTTTTTAAAGGTAATATGTAATGTTAGTGTAGCAAATTAAGACTAATGCAGGAAGCAGTAATAAAATATTTTCGTGAGTCTTTTAGATCTAGAAAACTATTTTAAACAGTCAGGAAAGAGGAGGAGAGGTTTGTGACTTTGGCCACAAGAGGAATACTAGAACTACCTTTATTTTAGCAGGTCACCGTCTCAAAAGTAATGAACATTTTAATTACTAGTTAAAAGTTCACTTTAAATTTAAATGACAACTTATTACTTTTCAATCCTAGAAAAGAAGGAAGCATTTTGAAAGATAAGTCTATGGTATTATTGAGTAGGTGTATTGATCTTTTGAAAGATATAAAAACTGAAATGTTCCAAGTGTCTCCTCACTAGTTTTAACAGTGTTGAATCAGTCATTTCGTTGATTTATGATTATACCTAGTCCCTGAAGGGAAGCTGATGTGGTAGCCGGATTGGTTACAGTTGTGTTATGATCAAATGACAGTAGTTAAGATGTTGTAAGGAAATCCACAAAAATCTTTATTATTACAAATTGCTGTTTCTTGAATGAATAAAACTATGTAGAAGTTTTTGTTGTTTTTGGTGAGTACTAATGATTTTTGAACACTTGAGGTTTTTGTTTTCTAAACATGCTTAGTTGTTACTTATAACTAAGATTATACTGTATGCTATATTAATTTTCATTTGAGGGTTTGGACTGAGTCATGGTGTCAAGCAGGTACAGGACATTAGAACTGTCAAGCCATTGCTTAATTAGGGGTTTAAATTTCAATCTTTGCACCTTTGCTGCTGTTAGTAGTGTATGCCATCCAATTATGAAACAGTAGAACAAACTAATTTTAGATATTTTGTACTCTTAATAGCTACCAATTATGTTTCATTTTTGTATTCTCTTGTCCCCATCTTTATTAAAACTGTTGATAAAGAATAATTATATCTCATTGTTTATTATACTACATATCCACGTTCAACTGGAAAATATAACAACTAAAATTTAAGACATTCAGACTTCCGGAGGGTGGGTATTATACACACATATTTGCATATGCCCTAAACATTACCTTGTGGTTAATATTATATTAGTCAATTAATCTGACTGATGAAATTGATTCATGATAGGTAGACAAATATTTGGAAAGTCTTCTAAGCTGTTGTAAAATCAAGGGCAATGTGTCAAGTTGACTAAATGAATTTTAAATAGAAAAAGGTTTTATTTTTAATTCTTATTATACCATGATCCAGTTTTCCCCCCACCTCTCTACTTTTGTTATTTTTCCACATAATTTGTACACAACCGCTAAAGATAGTTTGGGTATACTATACATTGCGTGCCTGGTTAGGGAGAGAGTCATGGAATAGATCTATTATTTTCTTGGTTTTTTGAACCGCCTGTAAGAATTATAGCTACTATATCTCACCAACTGTGTATGTAAGGGGAAATGTGTTTATTTTTGACACATAATTTGGTTATGTCAGTGTGTATGTGTATATACACATATATCTGTAAATATAAAACTATTGTAAGAGGTCATCGATTTCTGACAGGGATTATTCATTTAAGTTAGAAAGTTAGCACAGACATGCTACTTTGGAAAAATCACATTGTTACACATTTTATTTAATTGAAGCAAATAAAATGGGACTGATTGATTATCCTTAAGTAAATTACTTATTTAGATTCTGGAGGCTTCCCAAGTAGATTTAAAATAAGGTCCAATTGCTATAAACAGTTTTGAGGAACATACCCTATTATATAAAGCAAGACATACATGTATAAGATTTTTAAATAGTTCATTTTATCATCTGCTAGTCTGGCAAAATAAAACCTCTGAAATATTCATGCAAGATTTCTTTGGGATTATAATTTTTATTTTTTATCACATGTGGTTTTACAGGTTATTGTGTCAGCTTCATCTTGAAGTACCTAACATTCTGAAGTCTGTGAGATACACATTGTTTATTCTGAGTATGTTCTTACCCGCTTGAAATCACAACATAATTTTGGTAGGTTTATTTTAACATGTGAGGCTTTTTAGCTGAATTTAATTGGTCAAACTGTATTTTGTAATGGTTTTCATAGACTAAATACCATTTTAGTAGAGGTAACTGTATGAGGACTAGTGCTTACTTGTTCCTTTGACAGACAGGAAAGGGTGATGGGGCAGGTCAAGGGTATTATGGAAGTCTAATCTGAGCAGTTTTCTTTAAAAAAAAAAAAAAAAAAAGTGGGATTGATTAAATTTGTGAACTCCTGTATAAAATATTCTTTTTTTTTTTTTTTCTTTTTTTTTTTTTTTCTTTTTTTTTTTTTTTCTTTTTTTTTTTTTTTCTTTTTTTTTTTTTTTCTTTTTTTTTTTTTTTCTTTTTTTTTTTTTTCCTTTTTGTCTTTTTTTCGTGTCCGGCAACGGATCGCAACCCTCAGTGTCGCGCCCGTACCGGACCGGGACCGGCAACGGGATCGCAACCCTCGGTGTTGCTCCCACACCTCGCTCAGCCAGTGAGCGGGAACCGGTCTGTATGTGGGATCCGAACCCTCGGCGGGAGCGCTGCCGCGCTTCCCAAGCGGCACACTGTAGCAGTGCGCCACCGGGCCGGCCCCAAAATATTCTTAATTTCAGTGAACTAGGTTGTAAATGAATTTAAAAAGCAAATATTTTCTTAAGACCTTTTCTTCATTTTACACTTTCTTCTTTCTACTAGTGGACAATTCTCAATTATTTGCTTCTTAATTTATATTGTAATGAAGTGTTGAAACAGTGTTATACACACGATGAATTAGGATTTCAGTTTTGGTGAGTGAATTTTGTGGAATTATTTCTTACTTT